GGAGTTGTAATGCAAGATTTGTGTCAATAGGTCCTCGGAGCACCGCCCTGCGACCTCGATGAATCCATCCTATGAGGGATATCGTCAGAGCGGGACACCATGTTTTATGATAATTCATCAAGCAAAAGGACGAGAAAGGTGGCCGACTCCATGCCTACCTCCCTCTTATAGCCTAACTTGGTCCACTTAATCAGGCATCTCATATACTTTGCTAAACATTGAAGTGGCTGCAGATGAAGCGTGAAGCGGATGCATTTGTGACCGAACAGCTGAATCATCCCATAATCACTCATTTTTTTGATCCCTCATTGTTACCGCATGTGATCATTCTCTATTACACACATGTTGTGTGAACGCATTGCTCTTGAATTGTGTATGATGTGAGAGTGTAAGCCAAATTCGAGCCTAATCAAGCCTCCTCCTACTGCTCGGCGATACCTCTCGCAGCTACTTTACATCTTATCGGCAGCCACTAAACTTAACTTTTCAGCAAACATTTAGGCAAAGCAAAGGATATCCAACCCAAACCTGAGATGCCTAATTAATTGGACCAAATTGGGCTGTAAGGAGTAGGCAGATTTGAAGCCGGCCACCTTTCTTGCCTTCGTATTTTGGTGAATCATAATGAAGTATGGTGTCCTGCTCTGACGATGCCCCTCACATGACGGACGAAAACTCAACAAGGATTCATCGGGGTCGTATGGTGGTGCGCTTAGGACCTGTTCAACAAATCTACAGTCACAGCTCCTCCTACAGTTTCCGGTGAGGCCAATTTACCGTACGGTTTGACATTGGTCTAGTGATTATTTGATAGGGATGAAAGGATTCATCGAGAATGTTGTGATCTTACATGTTAAAAATGATTTTCAATCGCGCTAGGTCGCACAAGGTGATCGTTGAATTTTCCTTTTATACTGTGAGCAGGACTCATGTTTCCATTGAATTTCGTTTAGCATTCTTCTCGGAAAGTTATTCTCAGCCAGGTTGAACTGAATTGCGATTTGGGCCTCGTCTGAGTATCACCCGTTTCCAAAGCAGGTTTATTTTTGACAATTTATCACTTCGTTACACTGCCACAACTCCCCGTGCGTATTAAGGACGGCCAGGCCTGTCCCATTTCTAATGTTATGGTGGGAGTATCGATAACGAGAACTTGTACTTTGTAATTACAGTTGACTATATTACTTATATTCAGAGAAAGTAAGCTTTCGATGATATCAGCAAAGCTTAAATAGGAGTGAAAAAATCCACTTACTATCACCTTATACGATTTATGGTGTCTGGAACTCCTAGTAAAGATTTGGTGATAGCCTCGAAAACATACTTTGGCTAAATATAAGTAGTGTAGTCGGTTGCATAAGCAAAATACCAGTTTTTCGTTTATAAATGGGTTTTAGAGACGGCTAGTAAATCAGACATATGAGATGTGTTCACTCTATTTCGTTTAGGGTGTTACGAGTACTGATCGTCGAATTGTCCCACAATGCTATTAGCAGATATGGCGTTTTCCATTGAATTTCACGTGCCCTCGCTTCCCAAAAGGCTGGGGTGGACTGTAGTTTAGACTTCGCCTAGGCCTCATCAGGACTCGAACCATGAAACTGTGTCGTATAATAATTGTGTGAAAATTCATCACCTCAAACGAAAACCAAAACGAAAAATAAGTAACATAGTCGATTGCTATAGCAAGTATAACTATGCTTCATCGGAAGAAAGTAATATGGGATAATGTCTGGCTTTACTTGAACTTCACCTCTGCCCTGTGAGCAAAGGGCATTCGTGGTAGTCTGGCTTGGAGGTTGATATGTCAAGATTATACGCTTCCCTGTCATAGTTCGAATCCCGCTGGGGTTGTTGATAAGAACTAGGCTAGGTCGAAACTGCAGTCCACCCTGGATGATGACGCTTTTTAGAAAGCAAGTCGATGTGAAATTCAATGGATGCGTCAGCTCTATTCATATCATTGTGCGAAAATTCTTCTACCAGACCTTAATCACCTTAAACGAAATAGGTTGAATACACAACATGCATCTTAAAATACCATTTTACCTAATCGACATTCCCACTATAAAAATGTGATAAAGAAGAAATATACGCCGGATCTGTGACCCACTGACACTGGTGGCGTGGGTTTGATTCCTGTTGGAGGTGTTTTCGAGAACCAGGTAAAGTGGAACATTCATTCCAGCTCAGTTGGGATTTAAATAACTTTTAGGAAAGAAGTATGAGAGAAATTAAATTGAAACGGGATGCCTATTCATTAGTACTTTATCAGCTTACTTTTTTTAGGGGGTGACTAGGGCCCTTATTCAAGATTTATGGATAGTTTTGAAAAGCTAATTTCGCATTAAATATGAGCCTTATTAAGAAATGACCTAAAGAATTAGGCTTAACAAAAAAGGTGAGTTTCAGACACACTCGAGTGGGGTCGTTTGATGAGACGCGTATTGCCTTCTCTTTTCCTGGGGAGTGGGACCAATGCTGGCAGCCGGCGACATTCTCATACCACCGTTCCACATCGTATCCTGCTGGTCCCTCGATTCGGCGAGTTCGCAAGCTCGAGTGCCAGCTGGTGGGGAAGGTTCTTCACTTGCTTCCAGGCTCGAGTCGTCTGCCCCGTCGGGGCGAAGCGACTGTCCTGCAATCTGGGTCCAGTATGGAACTGGATCGTCAATCTGTTCCAGGTGGAGGTTGGGTTCTCGGCCGGCGTCCAGTGCCGGTTGAAGAAGGGGACAGCGTATCTGACTTAGCATCAACGGCAATTCAGACGAGACCGAGGCTGGCAGGAGACTGTCGAGGATGAAATTGCAGAAGCCACCTCCACTTTGCACACATTTTCCAGCCTCGCCTCGGCCAATCGCTTGACTCAGGTCTGCGCTGGCGGCGGCGCCGTAGATCAGATCGGCCAAAAGACCGGTCAGCAGAAAGTCAGCCAATTCTGGCAGCAAGGCATCAGCTCGACTGAGCAAGCCGGCCCGAGATCCTCGGAGTATTTTGTCGCCATCTAAGCGATCTTCGCTGCAGGCTCCGGACTCAGGCGACTCGGAGTCCGCGTTACGCGACAAATCGGAACTCAAGCTCTGAGCTCCAAGGGCAGTCATCTCCGTTCGACTTGAGCGTAGAATGCGTGGTCTAGAAATATGGGCAGATGAAA